AAAGACCTGATGACATGATTCTATGATCAAGGGTGGAGCATGCCCAGGCACAGTAGTGTCAGCAGAGATGTGTGTGGGCTGCATGATCCTAAAGTGAAGGAAACAAGTATCTGGGAGGGAAACCTACATTCAGAACACGAGGAGACAAGGTCTGTGCCATGGCACATCTTTTCCTGCTGCTGATTGTCCCTTTCTGTACCATGATGTATCTGAGGGCTCTTGTGTTCCTTTTAAACCTGTAATTGTAGTATAGACATTCCAGACACTTGAGCATGCTAACATGGTGAAGGGAAGAAAATGCCCATTGGATGACTGTTGGGCAGTCCTTGGGCAAGTTCTCTTTCTTAAGAGTGTCCCTGTAGCACCCTCCAAAGCCAGGCCTTAGAGTTACTTCATTCCCACCACTTTGACAAGCATTAAATAGCACTTCTACTGTGCTATTTAATGGACAACTTGGCTTTGCCATTTCCCAGCACAAGGCCACCAATAAGTGTACCTAGCCAGCAAAATGTTATTTAGCAAAAGCATGATTCTCTGCAGTACTTGGTTGCCACTGAGTGTGAGACCTGTTCTACTCTTCCTGTGCCCACCTGCACTCTCTTGACCACTCTGCATAGTGGAATAACTTTTGCAACTTGTCTTCATGGTACTTCCTCTGCCATGGCATGCGGTAGCTCCACATCATCCAATAAAGGGTGTTTAATATTTAATCTGACTTCTAGCTTGCGTTACAACTCCTTGTTTGAATAAGTGACTGTTCTGTATGGGTTTGACATGTATTTGCCAGTGTCAGTCTAAAGGAGCCTGTGCAATGAGTGGCATGCCACAAGGCCATCCCAGCGTGTTCCTGGAAGGGAGAAGACATGTTTGCGGCAGCAGAACTGAACCTGGAGTTGGCAGGATTGCATGAGGGACTGCGAGGGCAGGGTGGCTGTGTTGTGTCAGGATGGACCCATGCCACTCCAAAGCAAAGAGCTCCGTTAAGGTGCTCAGGCTGTCTCCAGAAAGGTTGGCACTATCACCTGAGATGGTGCAGCACCATGCCAGGGTGTCTCAGGGGCTACACGGATGATTTAAATGGTGATTTGTTGCTTGTCAGAGCCATCAGTCCTGCAGCTCTGCCCTGCTCTGAACTCACTGTGCTTTGCTCTTGCTGCTGATTCCTCATGTGGGTTTCATTTCTCTTTCTCCCATCCTCTCCAGGGGTTCTCACTTGTGGCTGGCATGGCAGAGTACATCCCGCAGCCTCCCTCCACGTGGTCTGCAGGCCCACAGCCCCCTCACGCCTCTGCCATCTGCCCACTGGAGCCCATGGATCTGGGGGTCTTGGAGCAGCAAACGCCACCAGCGCAGCCACCACCCTCCCCAGGGCTGGGCGAAGATGAGGAAGTCACCTCCCCGCCGGACCCTGATGTTCCCTACCCCGACTTAGCCCCGGTTGTCTTCTTCTGCTTGAAGCAAACCACCAGCCCACGGAACTGGTGCATCAAAATGGTGTGCAACCCATATCCTTTCAGAGCTGCCCCATCTTTTGCTGCCTTCTGCCCCATCCCTCTCTCTCTGTCTCTCTGCCCTCCCGGGCCACCTGGCAGGTAAGGAATGCCATTTCCTACATGTTTAATGACCTGCTTTGTTCCTTGCTTGTGTTTGAACAGAACATCAGCTGTTTCAGTGTGTGATCAAAAGAAGGTGATTATGAAAGAAGGGACTTCAGAGAGAGCTGCTGACAGCCCCAGTCACAGGGGGCTGGGTTCTTCCCATTCCTGGCTCTATTCTCGCCTCTGCCCTCGGTCAGAGCGTGAACTGCTAGCTCTAGGAGTTGCTGCCTGATAAGCAGGCTGCCACCAGTGGCAGAGGTGTCTCCTCCCTCTGAGTGTAGAGGCTTTAGTGAAAACTTATCTTGCCCTCAGTGAGAGAAGCACTGCTCCTGAACCTCAATTGCAAGGATACCTGGGTGACCCCTTGCCTTTCTACCTAGCACAAATTGCTGTCATACTTATATCTTGCCATGATGTCAAGCCAGGAACAAATGGCAGAATCTGTTCCAAGTTTGATTCTGAGCCCCATACACCTTGGGGGAAATCTCTGGAACATGAACATGTTCTTCCTTTGCAAAGGAGGTCAGCAATCAAACACGTGTCACCATTCACATGTGGCCCCTGCATCCCAGCAGTGCAAATGATGATCAGCTGCACAACTCATTAGCGCTGAGGCTGCCAGGAAGCAAAGGCTTCTTTGGCTGTTGAGCCTGATGCAATATAAAAAACAGGTGGAGGGCACTTATTGTTCTTTGGACTGTGGGACTCTGCATGGTGAGGAAGAAAGAGAGGAGATGAAGAATTATCAGAAAGGTTGGTCTGGAGTTTTACTTGGATTTTTTTTCTGCACAGAAATATCAAGTGATGGCACCTTTTACCTGGAAGCTTCTTAATTCCTAGTTAGGTTGGCATTATCTATAAGGTTGCTTGTTATAGATTTGATGCATTGGCTTCTAGAATAAATCTGAGTGTATGAGCACACAGCAAAGTCTTGCAAAGTGTTTCCAAGAGCCTTTTCAGCTTCAAAAGCCCAACCCTGGATGAAGTCTCGAGGTGCTGTCAGCAATAGCAAATGACCTTAGATGGTTGAACACTTGTTTCAATTTCAAACGTAGGAAAAGGTTTGGGTTTCAGCTCTGAGCTCTTGTCTTAAAGTTCAGAAGCCCTTATAAAGGTGTTGTAGTCTTGAGTACAGTTTATGTCTGAGAACTCATTGGAGGTTTAGGGTTTCTGCTTTCCTTTCTACTAGCTGCCCCTTAAAGTTTAAAAACTTCACATTGAATTATGCATTGCTTTTCAACTGCTGTTGGTCTGCACTAGTTATCATAGCCCAGGAATCTTGTCCCAGCATGCAGTGGGCTCAGAATAAAGCATGAGAGATTTGGGTCTTAGTGAAAAGGCTGGATTCAGAAAATGAGACAAGAGTGATAGCCTGGGTTTGGAATGATGATTTGCTCTTGAATGGGGGAAGAAGAGAAAAGCTTGCCTGTCTTCCTGGCTAAAAAGTCAGTCAAAACATTCTCTCCAGTTTGGTATGTAGCAGGGAGTTTGCTTTAAGGTGTTGGAGATGTGTTATTCAGAGTTGAGCACTATATGGGCATTTTTGTGTTTAAATGTCATTTTTTGTTTTAATCCCCAAAAATGTGTGCTATTTGACTCTGAAAATGATCTTTTTGTAGCAGAAGCTACAGAAAGAAGGAAAAAGCCTCAATCAGTCACCTGTTGATGTTATTACATCTGGCTACATGTGACACCAGGGGGAGAAGAGCAACGGTGGGGATGCTGGAAACCTTTTGAAAGGGTTGTTTCAGACCTGTGATTTTAGCTCAGCTGTGTCAAGTTAAGAGATTATTTGAAAAGCAGAGACTGAGTGGGGTGGTTTCAACTCCTCCTTTGATCCTCTCTCCTCTTGTGGGCCTCGTTTTGCCCAGGTGAGTAGCTTCGGAGCAGTTGCCTTCAGCACCAGAATGTTGAGAAAGCAGAGTCCAGAGGTCTCGCTCCTAAATGGCAAGAGCCATGAAGGGAGGCCCAAGCCCTTGCCAGCGCTAGCCCAGGAGTCAGGAACGATAACCACCACCTCTGAACGGGCAAAACACTGCCCTGGGAGTGCGGTGACTGGAGCATAGTAGTAGTTTCCACAGGAAGAACCAGCGGGAAGGGCCCAGAAGCCTGGCAAGCTTAAGTGGTGAGCTCAGCCAGTGGTCATCAAGAAGGTGCTCAAGGTTGGGTTCCACCCAAGAGTCCTGAAGAAGCTGGCAAAAGCGCTTGCCAAGCAGCTCTCCATGAGAAGGCTCAGGAGGAACCCTGTTGCTCTCTGCAATTACTTAAAAGGAGGATAGAGTAAGGAGGTGCCTGGTTTCTTTTCCCTAATAAGTGATAGGATGAGAGGAAATGGCCTCAAGCTGCCCCAGGGGAGGTTTAGGAAAAATTTCTTCACTGAAAGGGTGCTCAGGCATTGGGACAAGTTGCCCAGGGCAGTGGTGGAATCACTGTCCCTGCAAGTGTTAAAAAACTGTAGATGAGGCCGTTCGTGACATGGTTTAGTGGTGGCCTTGGCAGTGCTGGGTAGGGTTGGACTTTATGATCTTAAAGGTTTTTTCCAACCCAATTGATTCTATGGCTCTCTGATTTTGAGTGGATTGTGGAGTAAGTTGTTCCTATAACTTTTTTCATAGGCTGGTGTCAGATCACTTACTGTGATCTCATTCCTGGCTGTGAATGAGCCCCCTTTGTAAGTGATGCTTCTATGAAAGTCTTCTAAGAATTTATACAGTTGGCTGGGTGTTTTTCGCTGCTGTCTCAAGTTTTTTAGTCTTTGCTATATTGAGCTATTTGATTTCTTAATGCACTTTCTAAATTAGGGGCTGAGTCACTGTCACAGGGCAATGCCTGTCCTTTCCTGAAGATTCAGCAAAAAAGATGGGCATTAATTAAAAGCCCGTTAATCCTTCTCATTGACTTTCTACTAGGATAGAGCTTCATAATCATTGTTATGGAAGTATTGTCAATGAGACTTAAAATGGAAGCCCTGATCATTAAGGACTATGTAGCAATTTTTGTAAGCACAAGGTCATTAACCACTGCATTTCAATCTAAGTAATTGCATTCTACCTACTTAAATCCCCCTCTCCTGAAGATTATTTTTCCTTCCATGAGCAGTCCTGCAATTTTGTTATGTGCTATTAAACAACTGCCATATTCTTTTGCTGCAGTGCAGTATGAGGAGAAAGAACCACTTATGTCCCTGCTTTAAAATCACTTCTGGATGCATATGAGCGTATAAATGTGCAATGCTGTTACTGCAAAAATTGTAGACTCCGAGTCCCTTTTAAGATAGGGACGATGTTCCATGTGAACCTTGTGGTGTTTGTCCTCAAAGAGAGTACTGTGCTTTTTACCATAGCGCTGTGTGGTGAAAAGCAGCCTGATGCTTTGAAGTTAGGTGATTACATATTTTCTAGGGTGGCTTTACATACAGTATAAATGAATGCTTGAATTGTCCTAATTTATTGGGGAGCAGATTGTTTTAAAAATCCTGATTAACCTTTTTAGATCCAGGTAACTGCTGTCATTGCAGTGCAATGCACACCTGGAGCCTGGCTTGGCTCCTGCTAAGTGTGCCTATCCAAAAGGAGTCTGGCATGGTGCAGCATGTAAGCAACCTGGCAAGCAGTTTGTTGAGGTTGATCTCTGTTTTGATTAACAGGCAGATGGTTGACCACTCTGAGTTGTAGACCATGGGGCTGTTACAGCTATAATGTTAATGGAGTCAATATTTGAGGTATGGTTATGAGAGAGGCTTTAAGATCGTTCGTTGTGGGCTTTTTCCTTTAATGAAACTTAACCTCCATGTCAGCTAGGATTTCAAGTTTAGCTTGGAGGAGAAATGGGGTGAGAAGTGTGAAAACATGTTTCTAGAACGACTGTGTAGCATTCATCTTACGAATTTATAAAGTGCTTCGGACTCAATAATGGGCATGCCACGTGGCACCATTGCAAATGGATCCTGATGGCAGGTGGCAAATTATGAGAAGATTATGAGAGAGATGCTTGGATGTCTGCATTGCTGTTTGACTCCTTGGAGTTCCATAAAGACTTTAGATTTCATCCATCCCTAGGGTCAAATGCAATAGATTTGGTTTGTCTTTTGGGCTTTCCCTTAAGAGAAATTCTTGCCATTCCAGGAGGCCCAGATCTCCCTTTGCTGTCATATCTATAATATTGACATGACAATGAGAGCAAAAATGAAGTGTGCTATTAAAAAAAATCAATGCTAAAACTGTAGCAGTAATGAGATAGGCTCTGCAGTTCACCACTCTGTCTTTTTCTTGCTTTTTCTTATATATTTGTGAAATGTGTTGACCATTTGGGCTTCTGTTTTGCTCTCAGGCAGCAAAGTATTGTGTTTCTAGCTCATTTCAGTGATGCAAGAGCATTGGGTCAGGTCCCAGTTGTACAAAAGCTTATATATGCACTGAATTTTTACTACCAGGAGTTGTGTTTTACAGGGTATAGAGCAAGGTAGCTTCTGAAGTCTTGAAGCCAGTTTGACTGCTTGTATGTACTGAGGAGCTGCCTTGTAGCTCATATGCTTTAAAGAACCTCCAAGTAGGGGCTTTGCCATTGTACTTAACCCTAAAAGTCTTGTTTCTGGGGGTAATTTTCCTGTAACTTGTACTTGCAGTGTATCAGATTGGTCTATGTGTTTGGTGCACAAGGAAACAGGGCTGGCTTTGGGCATATTGATGGGGAACTGAGAAAGCCCACAGATTTATTCCCTACCCTCCTCCCTGTTGGGTGCTGCAGATATGATTTATGTACAAGGCAACTGAGTATAGAATGGCTGGCAATGGGAATAGTAGTGTTTTATGCTGGCATTGCCTGTGAGAGCAGAGTGGAGAATCAAATGTTGAACAAGCAAAGAAAATCATGTGTGTGTGGACTGGTAACTGACACTTGGTGACACTGAGCAAGTGATGCCGTGGTGCATGGAGACCCTGTGCTGCCAAACCCACTGATTCTTCATGGCTGAGGGACTGACATTGCTCATTAATAAGCTTTGGTTGAATAGGTGTGTTTATGTATTACATCCTGGTGGTAAAATAACAGTTTGGGTAACTTGTTCTTTTGTGAATGAAACTTCTTGTGCAGATTCTATAGTATGCTGTACTTGGTTCTGCCTTATGTTGCCTTGCGTACTCTTAAACCCTGGATGCAGTTTTCATCACAACTGGATGTAGTTAATTAATAAGCAAACATCAGCTGCAAGATTATTGCAAGTCTTTTACTAGTTGATATTTGTCTTAAGGCCTGAACTCCTGTAATCCTCTGAGGTTTACTTTTCTTTTTTATATGTGTACATTTATTTATGTGCGTATATATAACAAATACAGAAAAAAAGGTTCCTGCCTTTCTAGTAATTAGAGAAAAGCTTGTAACTGTGGCCAGAAGGTAGAATAATACATCAAAACTTGAGTTGCTTATGAATTTTAAGCAGCATTCATTATTCTTGAGGGCCTACGAATCATGGCTTTTCACTCTTGGGGTCAGCAATATCAGCTTTTATGTGCATACCCGGAAAGAACTAAAATGCGTGTTATTCCTGCTTCGCTATTATAGAGACAAATCTCTCATGTCTCTCTTTGCAAATCCAGCTCAGAAGACAGGTGAAGAGTCTGACATTTGAGGACTTGACAGCTTTGTATTGCTCTAGGTAACTAGGGAAATGTTGTGACTGTGCCCCTAGGAATGGGTTGATTTCTATAGATTATGCATCTCTAGACCTCTTTCCAGCCAACAGGTACATTTGTATACCCAAGATCCAACATATGCAAGGATTTTTATTTTTTCCTGTAAGAAGTAATATAATCTCTCTGCAGTCCATAATGTGCTAAATCAACTTTACAGTTGCTCCTGTGGTATGGGAAACTGAACTGATCCAGAGCTCTCCAGGGGACATGTAGTGTTGGTGGCATTGCTGTACCTCTGGGCATGTGCCTTATGCTTTTCAAACTTTAAAAGGGACAAGCCTGTTTAGATCCTGCTGGCTTTTCTGCCACTTGGCCAAGCTCCTTACTATTGGAACAGAATTTGCTATTAGCAAATGAGGGTGACTTTTAATAAGACAATTGTCCATAAACTTGATTAATATTTGAAGACAATGAATGTATTGGGCCAACACTGCCATGTCCCCAGGACCAATACATCCTCAACTACTCCTTCTCCCCTTTTCTGTTAACAATGTGTTTTAATGCAGGTGTTTCCTGTGCTTGTGAACTGACCCTTAATTCCTGAATTCTCCTCTTGGGAAGCTGTCTGGGCTTCACCCCATCTAACTCTACCAGTCTGAAAACCAGGCATCCAGGCTGTCTCTGTAGGTGAATGACACACTGCCATCTGTAGCAGGAAATTCAGCACACTTAATTTAACCCTACCCTTCAGAGGGCAAAGTCAGTAAGTGAGGGTGCCTGTTTTCCCTATTTCCAGATAGCAGGCTATAGGGATTGCTGGCTAGCATCCTGGGTTGCCTTTAGGGTTGCTATGCTGTTTGGTCCCCTAGGTGCCCTGAAGGGTGGGAAAAGGAAAACCAGGGTGCAGGTTTAGTTTTGGAGATAGTGCAGTCTGAACCTTTAAAGTTTCCATAATGAAATATCAGGCAATCTTAGTTTTGTGGGAGGAGGGGAAGGCACACCATTTGCCTGGACTCTGGGTTGGGAATATGTAGTTTTGTAAGGACCAGCTTTTTTGTTTTCCTGGGATAGAAGCCCTGTTTCCCAGTTAGGGGGTGCATGGTAGTGCTCAGGACATGCATAAGGAGTGGGGAAGGAAGCTGCCTCTGCAAAACTGGTGACAAGGGAGTGTTATTAGCGTGGGTCGTCATTTGGTGTGCAAGTTTACAATGGGAAGTTTAGAGGGATCATTTGCACGGCCAGCCATGGTGTAAGTGGAATTTAAATTCCTGCATTGTCATTAGTAGCACACAGGGGATGGATAAGTTTGAAGGTAATTTGCATGCTTGCAAATGGATTGGGTGTATATACACAATTGCAGGCAAGTGGGCAGATATAAAGAGATGAGGTCTAAATCTGTCTGGCTTGCAAGCCGGCCCTGTATATCTAAGCACAAATGCTGAGACAGGGAATCTGACTGCCTCCCATTCTCTTAGCTTATTCTCTGGAGCTTGCTCTTTTTACGGTGAGAAGTCAAAGACCACGGTTTGGAAGTGAAGCAGGACAACAGCACAAACAGATCCAGAGCTCTGACTGTCTGAAGCTTTAACATCTGTAGGGTATAACAAAACCAGAAATAAGGCTGAAGAAATTCTTACTGAATCCCTACTGTCTTCATGCAAAGATCAGCATTTTCCCTGTTACTGAAGGATAGATTGCTACTGCTGGAGGAAGGCCAACCGCCAAACCACAGTCTCCTTTCAATATGTTGGAGAGGGGCAACTTTTTCTTTGGTGCGCATATGTTGTACTGCCCTACCTGGTGTAGTGGAAGGTGTCCCTGCTCGTCGCAGAGGGGTTGGAACTAGGTGATCTTTAAAATACCTTCCCACTCAAACCATTTTGTGATTTGAAATTCTATTCTATAAAATGATTCTATGAGAAGCAATAAAGGACCTGCTAATATTCCATGTCCTGATGCTTCAGGAAAACTCTTACTGCAACAGCTTTTGATGAGGTATCTCAGTATGGTCCCTGAATTTCTAGTCAATGAATGTGGAAGGTGTGGGGAGAGTAGGCAGGAGGGAGTAGACCAAAGTCACAGCTTTGCCTTGTGTAAATCCATGAAAGCAGACCTACTTGCACCAGCTATTGCTCTTCAGGCTACGGTCTTGCCTTGTCATAGCACAGTGCAGACTGTGGTTCATGTCAACTTGGAGTACACCTGATAGTGGCAGGCCAGAGGAGAGGGGTGATGTGCTCAGCTGAATGTGGTAGCTGTGCCTGCTTCAGGGGACCTTCCCATCCCTCCACAAAGTGTGTTGCTGAACTGAAACAAATGCTGAAAAACACTTCTGGAGCATATTGTGTTTATTCACTGGAATATATTTTGCCTTGGAGATGCGAAACATTACCTTGCTGAAAAATGGTCAGTTTGCCTTGTTCAGCCTTTGTGATCACTGGAGCAGGGTGAGAGAGGAAGGTGAAGGGGGTTCTTGGAGAAATAAAGGGCAACAAAAATACTCATTTTGAGTTTTAAGACTGTAAAATACTCTACCAGATCTCCAACTGCATGTTCTGTCTTAATGTGAGTTAAATAATGCAATTAACAGATAACAAATTGATCAGCTGCCTATTTGGGACTTGACACTCTTCCCATCCCAGGCCATAGGGAAGGGCCTGCAGCCATCTGAATTTGCTGTGATGTGAATGTAGAACTTGACAGGAACTGCTTCAGGTGAGTAATGGTTAACATTTGCAGCTTTTCTGCAGTAAATGGCCTGCAGCTGGTCCCAGGTTGGTTAAGGGGAAAGGCTGCATGGACAACTTGGCCCTTTTTGGACCGATGGAGAGAACAGGAGCAAAGACTCTGCAAATCTGTCAGCCTCTAAGCTGAGAAGGTCTTCATAGTCTTAGAGAGACAGTGTCTTTGGAAGGTGAAGGTGTAGGAAGGCTGCAGCCTGGTGTAAGAAGGACCAAGCTCAAGCTTGCACCCACTTCTGTCCTGTGTTCACTTTGCCCTAGTCAGGCAAAACCACTGGTTCTGGTCATCCCAACACACTGGCCTGTGTCCTTCCCCATCTTGGGGGACATCTCCATGCTGCCACCTGTCC